CATGGAGGTATATACCTTCTGACTGGACGAGTTGCTTGAGTCTGCCCATGCCTTCATGCTTGATAAATCGGTCCCTTACTATTTATGGGGTCATTTATCCTATCTGCAGTCTATGTGATTAATTGAGTGCCTAGTAGTGTTATGGGCTTTCATACTCCACTAAACACCTTGGCTCGTTACATATCTCTTCCTACCGTCCTAAGATACATCCTCGCGTGTTTGGTTGTGTTGTATATTTCCATGTTTCTTCTCATCAATGGAATAAATTGGATCTTTGTGCCCTCCGCTATGTGTTTGTTGGTTATGGCTCAAACCAAAAATGATACAAATGTTAACACCCCTACCTAGAAGCTCTTGGTCACTATGGATGTCATCTTCTATGCAGACTTATCCTACTTTGTGGCTCCTACGAGCCCTTCTCTTCAGGGGAAAAGCAGGAGTGAAGAGAAGAACATGTGCTTTGAAGAAGACAAAGAAAAATTATGGCAATCAATCAATCGACCGGTCATTTTCAACTCGAGAAGAAGACTCGAAAACAACCAGCAATGTCGACCTCGGTCATTTTCAAACAAAGAAGACCTAGATGAAGATTTGGTGCCAGAAGTGACTCATGATGTCTCCGAAGAGCAACTACAAAATACAACCCCTCATGCCCTACCATCTTCTCAATCGTCTTGTGATGAAGAAGCTTTCGAGGTAGTCTCTGAACCACCTAGTATTGTATCGTATACACTTCCACGTAGATCCACTAGGGGAAAACCTAAACTGCAATATTGTCCTGACCTTAATGCCAAATCAAAATATCCTATTAATAGCCATGTGTCTACTTATAGATTGCCAAAGTCATATGCATCTTTTGTCAATCAATTATCTACTGTATGTGTTCCAAGTAAGTGACAGGATGTTGTGACATATCCCAAATGGGCTGAAGCTATGGCAATTGAAATGGAAGCTCTGAATAAGAATTCCACATGGGAAATGAAACCTTTACCATAAGGGGAAGAAACAAGTTGGATGTCGGTGGATATTCATCATTAAATACAAAGCTGATGGATCCATAAACCAATACAAAGCCAGATTAGTGGCTAAGGGTATACGCAAACATATGGAAGTGACCACCATGAGACATTTGCACATGTCCCCAAGATAAATACTATACGTGTTCTCATTTCTTTGGCTGCAAATCTTGATTGGCCAATATTGCAGTATAATGTAAAGAATGCATTTCTTCATAGAGACTCACAGGAAGTGTATATGGATCCACCACCTAGGATCCCTATGAGATCCGGTTCCAATACCGTATGCAAACTGAGAAAGTCATTGTATGGGCTAAAGCAGTCACCGCGAGCCTGGTTTGGGAGATTCACTGCATCCATAAAGCGTTTTGGGTACACTTAGAGCAACTCGGATCACACATTATTATTAAAGCGACGTAATAATAAACTTGCGACTCTAATCATCTATGTAGATGATATGGTTGTTACTAGTGATGACAAAAAAGAGATGAAGAATCTATAAAAGCTCCTTGCAAGTGAGTTTGAGATAAAGGAATTAGGTTAGTTACAGTATTTTCTTGGCATAAAAGTTGCTAGATCAAAACATGGCATATTTCTGTCTCAACAAAAATACTTGTTAGATCTGTTAACCAAAACCAGAATGATAGATTGCAAGCCAGTTGATACTCCTGTTGAACATAACCATAAATTGGGATGTATCCGGATCAGGTACCCATTGACAAAGAAAGGTATCAAAGATTAGTTGGACAACAGATTTATCTATCACACACATGCCCCGACATAGCCTATGCTGTGAGTGTGGTAAGTCAGTTCATGCATGAGTCCAATGAAGCACACATGAATGGAGTAACGCAAATAATGAGATACTTGAAGATTGCCCTTGGCAAAGGGTTGATGTTCTCCAAACATACACACATGGAAGTAGAAGGGTATATTGATGCTAAGTAGGCAGGATCCATCACAAATAGACGTTCTATGTCTGGATATTTTACATTTGTGAGTGGCAACTCAGTCACTTGGAGAAGTAAGAAACAAAATGTTATGGCTAGAGCAAGTGTTGAAGCTGAGTTTAGGGGGATGACTCAAGGAGTATGTGAATTGCTATGGTTACAAATATTAGTAAAAGATCCTAGAGCGAACTAGTCAAAAGCCATCAACCTATACTATGACAATAAAGCTGCTATCAAGATAGCACATAATTCAATACAACACAACCGTACTAAACATGTTGAAGCTGACCGGCACTTCATCAAAGAAAAACTTGAGGGTGGTGTGATTAAGTTTTCGTTCGTAAACTCATAAAATCAACTTGCTAATATTATGACAAAAGCCGTATCCAGTAGAGTTTTCTATGACTCGCTTGACAAATTGGGCATGCGTGATATCTTTACACCAACTTAAGGAGGAGTGTTGGCTTTTCTTGGTCTTGTGAATGCATTAAATGCTGCTGGCTTTAGGAGGTTGCAAACCTCCAGGAGTTGAGAACCCAATGCAGATTTTAGGAGGCTGCAAACCTCCCGGAGTTGAGAACCCAATGTGGCATTAACGGCACCAGCTGCTACCTGCTACCTATTGTAATTAATACAGAGCTTGGTTAGCAAGCCTTCTCTACTTGTAAATTTTGACGTTAGTGATACAAAGTAAGATATAATTGAAACCATAAACCTTTCTTCTCATACTTTTAGCAGTTGTGATATGAAGTGTTTGCAGGAATGTTTGCCTGATGAGATTGTCCAGATGATTTTAAGCATTCATGCTGATTTCTTTGGGAGTGGTCTGGATAAAAGAATTTGGAAGTTCACTCCTAATGGTGATTTTTCTGTTAAATCGGCTTATAATACCTTTTTTTCTTGAAGAGAATTTTCTGCTGTGGCAGTGGGAGTTTCTTTGTAAACTTAAACTTCCTCCTAAGATTAAAATATTTCTTTGGTTGTTGTGCCATAAGAAGTTGCTGACCAATAATCATAGACAGACAAGGGGCCTTGCTTCCAGTGCTCCTTGCCCCAGGTGCATTTACTCTAAAGAATCTATCGAGCATTTAGTTAGAGGTTGTTGTTGCTCTATGGATATTTGGAGTGGTTTTGGGTTTAGTGATGATTTGGTTAACTGCCATTTGGGTGATTTTGATGCTTGGCTTTTGCACAATCTGAAGCCTAAAAGAGTTGTTTGTGATCATTTGCCTTGGTTCTTAGTTTTTGTTGTTTGTCTTTCGTTCATTTGGAAGTGGCATTGTAAAGTTGTTTTTGAGGCTGGATTTGGTTTGCCTTATGGGCCTCATAAGTTGATTTTGCAGTATGCTATGGACTGGTTTACAGCTTGTAAGCCTATGCTTAGATCCCCTAAGAAGTGTGTAGTGCATGTGCATTGGCATGCCCCTCTTCCTGGTTTTTTTAAGCTCAATACTGATGGGAGTTGGAAATCTGATTCTGGTGCTATTGGAGCAGATGGCTTGATTAGAAATTCTGCAGGAAAATGGATCAAGGGCTTTTCTGTCAATCTAGGTGTTGGTTCTACTGATGGGTGCCTCTTCTTGCTGGTTCCGTTGCCTCCACTCATCCTTTTTTTAGCTTGATAAATTGTTGCAAGTTGAAGATGCAGCAGGATTGGTTTTGTTCTCTCAAACGTGTGTTTCGTGAACAAAACTGTGCTGCTGATATTTTGGCTCACATGAGTCATGATCTGGTTCTTGGCTTTCATAGGTTGCGCCTCCTTCTGTTTGTGATAGCCTTGTTGCTGATGTTTGCAGCCTGGCTAGGCCTAGAGTAGTGGTTGTTTAGTTCTTTTTGTTCTGGCCATTTTGGCCCCTATCTCACCCAAAAAAAAAACAAGAGAGAATATAATATGTGAAACAAAAAGCAGATGCACATCAAATAGAATGGAATATTAACCATCTGTTTGCGTATATAAACCTAAATGTAGTAGCTCAATGGTCGAGTCGATTTTATGATCACAACCCAGGTGCATTAACAGGAAACGTACATTGGAATGATGGTTATTGGCCTTTCTTCACTCTATCTGCTGCTTCTTTTCTCCACAGCATATGTATGAAAGTAATTAGAAAGAAAAAAAAAAAGGAAGTAAAATAAGAAATAAGAAAAAAAAAATTGAAAGTAAACCAATGTTAGGATCATATGAAGTTCAATTCCCACAGGGGAACTTGAATTCTCCTTATGCATACGGTTCAAATGAAGTTCAATTCTCCTCATGCATACGGGTCAGGGGACCTGAAAAGAAAGGGAAGAAGGGAGAGTTAGCTTGGAAATGATTTCTTTAGAAAAGAAATAAGAAACAGAGATACAAACCCGAAAAATCCTCCCTCTTCGTGTTTCCTTTTCTGTGTAAAAGAATATTCAATTTTCAATTGGTACGGAGTATAACTTAATGTCAGTGTCTGACATCTGCAATTCGAAGATGACAACGCACTACTTTCTCCACACAGACAGCCATCTCATGTTCAAAAAAATTACTACACTACTTGGGTGCTTACAGTTATTGGGTCAAGTTCTACTTTGATACCAGCAACTTTTGGGAACAAAGTAGTCCCCTAAATTGTCCTTTCTGTTTGGAAAATGAGCACATGAGGAACGCACGCAACAGTTGAGACTTTTTAGATGCAAAAATCACCTCAAATGTGCCCTTGAGATCGAATCGCAGTCGACAAAATTAAGGCCATATTTGGCGACTAAGATTGGATTGAATTATGGGACTCCATTGGATTGGATTGAATTTGATTGTATTGGATTGAAGAGCATAAAACAAATTCAATAATATGTTTAGTAGTACTACACATGATTAAAGGGCTGGATAATATGTTATTACATAGTCTGGCAGCATAATCCAATCCGTCTTAATCCCAAATTTTTAATAGGATTCATAATCCAACTACATTTTTATATGGTTAGTAGATGACTGAAGAAGCAGAAGTAATAAAAATGTGACTGCATGCATCATAGTAGAGCTTCACTCCAAACTGGACGAAAATCATTACAAAAGCTACATCATATTCTGAAGGCAAAATGTGGTTGAAAAACCAATGAATATCTAAATATGACAATAACCCAGGCAACACCCTCTAAACCAAAACGTCGTCTTTTATTCAAAGCATCTATCACAACCACCATTGATGAAGAAAAAACCCATTTGAATCCCACTATCCATTTTTATAATTTATATACAGTCCCCAACCAACCAGTTTGATATTGGCATGCTATGCATCCTATCCTTTATTCAATTTCATTTTGGCCCAATCTGTAGACACTTATTGAAGCCACAGACAGGCACAAATATAATTGTCAAAATCCTCAACATATGCTCATCCACTCCATAATTACTTTTATTTTGAATTCTGTTACATGTATGCTTTCTCCAAAAACTGGATCACCATCAAGCAAGCAATTCTGCGTGAAACATCCGAGTATAAATTACAAACATAAGTTAGTGACGAAAGAGATAAAAATTGCCAAAAAATGCACACACCTAACATGACTCAAAAAAGAAAAATGCAATACACATTGTATTTTAAATTTTTCCTAAATTAACATGTGAAAGACATTTTTTTTAGTGACCCCCAACTGGACCATAAACGATCAAAGCTGTATCCCAATTACATTCAGCACCATAAGAAAGTGAGAAACTCTTTTAAGAAACTCTTTTATACAAGGCTTTTAAACAGTATGGCCAACAGACCACCAACTTTTCATGTATAGAAGGGCCATGTTATGTGTAAAACCAGGAGCAGGAACTAAGAGAGACTTGAAATCATGATAAAGTGCACAACAAAAGAAATTGGGTGATACAACTTTTTTGTTTTCAGCCTCATGTTCCACAAAAGCTACAATCAACTTGAAAAATGAAATTACGAAAAATAACTTCATAATTTCTATATCATTCAAGGGAAATAAACAGTGCTGGGAACTTTATCAAACAAAGAAAAATTCAAGGTACATGAACCACACCTTTCAAACCACTGGAATATTCCACTTGCAATTGAAAAACCAGCATGAGAGCTGCGCATATGTTCTTGATGTAAAAAAATCCTGCACACATAGGCAAGATTGAAGCAGACACAACATTTTTCAGTGATTCATATAGGAAAAATCATACAACACTGCCATTAATCAATATGATCATCAACTACTAAAGAAAAACATTCAGTCTGTCTAAGTTCACAGTCCCATTTACCACTGCCCGACACATTACAGAACATTATGGTATCAAGGTGTGGTCATCATGCATAATGGCTACGACTTTACTGATATCTCATCCCTGTTGTATACTAAACTTTGTATTTGTTATTTGACAACTTAACCTTCTGATTAGACGTCTGCCATAAATGAACTATTACATTTATGGAAACCAGTAGTAGTAAAGAATCAGAATCAAACCAGAGCAAAAACTTACATTGGAATGTTGAAACGGCATTATTCACCTTATGTGCAAATCAGCAAGAAAGTCTGACAGCCTGAAAATGTCAAAAATTTAGTAAGAAAAGAAAATTAAATGATCGAAAAAAATAATCAAAAGGCACAAAGCAAACCTAATATTTGTAGCTATCACCGTCTGACCATCTTCATTTCCAAGATGGCGCAGTGCCACTTCCTCCAGACGGCCATCCCTGTATGCATGCTGCAATCAGACAACAGCCATGTTCAATGCATAATTATTGTGTAAGTAAACAGGACCTGCTCCAGCATAGAAAACAAGAATACACGCAAATGAGACATGGATGAAAAATTAAGAGCACAACAGTGAACACCACATTTGAACAGACAACAGACCAGCTCAGAAAGGAAAAAGTAGATGCAAAACATACTTTGAGATGGAAATGTGCACATGACAGTAGAAGGAATATAATCTGAAAAGTATAGAAAATTCAGGAGTTACCATACAAGACCAAAAGTGTCATCAGTGACGCCCAAGGCGACAACAAAGTGACTTCAAAAAGTACAACCTCAACTTAAGAAACCTCAAATAAGAGCCATGTCGCATATAAAACTAGAAGAGATTGCCATATACATCCAACAACCCAAACTTTATGGGCCAGAAACAAAAATACAACAAAATGGTGATTGGTCAGAGAGATTGTACAACTGAAAAATTAAAGCACAAATGCAAATCATAGCCATATAACAGTCTCTTTCCTTTTCATTTTTATCAGTTAGACTGGATGCCTTTGGAAGTTATAAAATGGTTAGCATAAATATCACATCACACCAATGAAAACTATTAGAGATTCAGAGAACATAACCCCATCACTGGAGAATAAATCTATATTTCATTCATAAATAGGAGTTGTCAAAATACAAACTACAATCAAAACACAGCAACTCCAAAACCCAGAAGGAAATTTGAGAGATACAACTGGCTAAATCTAGTAGCTCACGGGCCATAAATCTATCTCATCTTCACTCGAGTCACTTGTATCAAAACCCATCTGCATTAACAACTCCTCCCTCTCCAATGGGTTTAAATCTTCATTTTCTAAATCTTCAAGTATATAATCATCCCATTCTTCTAAGTGCTCGAACATATGAAATATGACATCCATAGGCACAATATCATATCGACGTGGAGGAGGCCTTCTTGGAGGTGGCCTGTGAAATTTCCATACATATGAGCCTGGCCTGACCGTATGCTGGAACACAAAACATTCTATCCATTAAAGGTGTCACAAAGCTAATCCTCTCCGAGATGAAAGTAAAATGAAAACAAAAAAAGGGATGATTCTAAGGCCAACATTCAGGAGAAGCTAGTTTGATGCCTCTCCTCGAATATGACCAAATACAACTATAAAAGCAATAGAAGGTTTTAATTTCAATGACAGACTATGTAACTAACACAGGAGGGTGAGAGAGAGAGAGAGAGAGAGAGAGAGAGAGAGAGCATTACTTCTGTTTCCCCAGGCATCAATAATTAAAAGCACAGATTATTTTCATAATTGCAAACAAGCATCAAATTGATATTCACTTAGTATATTGATGTAGACCTACCTTAGCAATGAAAAACTACATCAGTCAGTTTTTACAATTCATCAGTGTCAGTTACGTCAAGGATGGAAAACCTTTTCCAATAGGTATATCATGAAAAGCATGACTGTAGTAAACCTCAAGAAGACCATACAAAAGCCAAATGACCAATATTGAGTTGAGGTAAGATCATTTGCAATGAAAAGAGAAAGAATAAGTTACATATTGAACCAGAGGAAAGAGGAAAGATCCAAGAATAAGACCCCAAAAGTGTAAGAGAAGCCTAAAAAATAAACAAACAGAGATCACGATGCTCCTATTGCCCCAAAAGTATTTATACCAAATACTAGTATTACGTAGAAAGCAATGTGTTGTCCTATATAACCCCGTGTTATTAAACCAAGGCTTGGTTAATTTTGGTTATAAGGAATCTAGAGGGAGCCATATGACTATAATTTTTATATGCAAACACAATTGCAAGCCCTTGGAAACCTGAAAGATATCTCAACAGGTTATTCAACAACTGGTAATGCATTGATTCTACAGGTTATTAGAGTCCTAGACCAACCAGAAACAACAGGCACAAGGACAGAACATGTGCAAAGATTAAAGGGAAAAACACGTACAAGAAATTAAAGTTCTTAAAGACCGAATACAACCACATCAGTAAATGCAGTTATATAAACTCTGGACTAAATAATAATAAATACAGTTTTTCCTGCTCCAACAATGTTGCATGGGGATGGGCATAAATCAGACAAAATACTTAAAACACAGATATTGCAAAGGCCTAAAAGACCAAAGCATCAAGTGTATATAAACAGCAGTATTACATATACCACATAAAAAGCCAATATGCAACCCCTTATCCCCACCTACCACTCACTCATACAAGTGCAGGTACTTCAACTGCAAGTAAGAAGCCACATGATTGGACTTGGTGACACGGAAATAATGTTTTCATCAAATGAACTAAGACTAGTATTAGTTAAAGAAAAGTGCTTGATCAATAAGAATACAAATCACAATATATTGATCTCAATATCCTCAGGTAAATAACAAAAGGCCACCTAATTAAGCCACAAAGAAGGCATCCACCCGCAATCAATCACAACAAAATAATAATAATAATAAATAAAGCAGGTTTCAAAATAAACAAATAAAATCGAAGGGGCCACACCAAAATCCATCAGAAAGTAAATCAAATGGCTCCACAAACACAAGGAATAAAAAGATAAGAGGAACGGAGTTTATGATTTTAGGTTTGGGGCTTAAAAGGCAAGTAGACTAGCCATCACATACTTGTCCAAGTCATCAGTAGATTCTTTACATGGTAAATTGCACTCAACATCACAGAAAAACCAATGTGACTGACAATTGCAGCAGCATAATTCCCTGTAGCATTTCTATTACCTTATAAAAGCAACTAGTTCCAAATGGGCAGTTCCCATTTCCAAAATCGAAGTGCTTGCAATCAATTGACCTGCAAGATAAAAGAAATATAAGCACAAACAAAACAAAACAAAATATAACGAGAGAGAGAGAGAGAGAGAGAGAGAGAGATTCCAATGTTTCCCACTCTCAAGGCCTTTCCAACTTCAAATCAAAAGAGCAATACAAAGCTGATATTTCTGTCCTCCAAATTCAATATTTTATATATAAACAAAAGTTAAACTATAATAGTTCCATTCTGAAAAAATAAATTGTGAAAAAAATCCAAGGTACAACACAGTGCACTACTAATTGAACTGCAGCTTTTAAAAGAGCAAAAGGACAATTAAGCACAAAATTACCTGAGCCTTGACTTGTAGCTGTCAATAATTTCCTGTTTCTCTTCTTTTGTGTTATACCAAATGACACTTGGAATGACAAAGTATGACAGCTTCCGACATATTGGGCACGCTCTCAATGCACTATTGACATCCATACCAGAAGTTGGGGAACTACTACGCCAATTTCGAATACAAGATACGCAAAAAGGATGATCACATTCTGAGAGTATCCCAAACTTCCGCTCAGCAACTGTGGGCTTTGACAAAACACGTTCCAGGCAAACACTGCATTCTATTTCTTGACTGCATTTCAAAGCCTCAAGTTGCTTCTGCTTTTCCTCACATGTCTTCATATGCTCCTCCCTTTCCATAGGTCTGTAAGGATGCAAGCAATGTTTTCCACAGCTGGGACATATATCTCCATGAATATGAGGACATTTTTCTCCACGAGGACAATTACCCGCTGCAGCAAATGAACAAATAGCATGATCTTCTGGCCTAGTACTCCTAGTCGCCCCAGCACCATCATCATCATTGTCACCATTATCATCATAATCATCATCATCCAAGGAACCATTCCAGGCAGGCTTAGAGGGAGGTAAGAAAGGACAACTTGAAGCAGAGAGTTCCGAAAGAATTCCCGGGGCAAGAGCAACTCCACTTGATGAGGTTCTTGAAGGATGAGCCATGGATAAAGAATCAACAGCCAGAGATTGCCGAGAATTTGTTGATGAAGACGAACCAGAAGACTGGGCCCGAGAAGCTTTAACATGTTCATATCTGCATCGACTACCAAATGCACAAGCACCCTTCTGATAAAAAGTACATATCTGTCATGATGAACCAGAAGCAAAAAGTTTAGAAGGTAATAATAACTGTTGATTGTTATTACTTAACACAAATGCAACTAAAAGTAAGTAGAATAAATAGTTTACATTATTTGGTGTTGTCTTCCAATCATGTGAAAACTCACAATGCTCCCCTTTCAAACAGGCTCCATGGGCAAAAAATTTGCAGAGAACCCTGAAGAAATTTGAAATGACAAAAGAACTAGTTCAATTACCATCAACAAAGACCAACCAAATGAGCCATGGAAAGCCTCTTGAAATGCGACAATAAAGAAGTTTGCTAAAACACTATTAAAGGATTTGATCAATTACTCATAATTTCACAAATGCATTTCTTTCCAATACCACCCCAACTCAGATAAGTTCTGAAAAACCAAATGAAGAGCCACTTAAACTACATAAAAATAAAAAATAAAAAACAATATGAACTAAAGGAGTTTCACAATCACGTTTCTTTACACATCTTTAAATAATTCAGATTTCAAAATCATATCACTACTCAAAATTACTCATTTATCCAATATTTAGCACAAATGGGATTATACAACCATTTCATTGATGTTAAACAGAATGGAAAGGTGTTATAAATTCACAAAAGCAGCAAATACAAAGACAGAAAATTTGTTTTCACGTGGGAATTTCCACAATATTGATTCCCAAAGGACCTCTAACCAACATTACCCAACAAATTAATCAAAGGACAACAACTCCCATACCAGTACTGTTCAACATTTCAAATTTAATTTCTTTTTCCTCTTTTCATCCTCGTCATTTCCTCCATTTTCTCAGCAACCAATTAATTTTAAGAAATTTTAAAACAAAATAAAAATTAGCAATTCCAAGAATCTTTTACAAACATAAAAAAAATACCAAATTCAGCAAATTACATATGTAAAATCACATATCCAAAAATTAGAAGATTCAACAATATTCTTTTTACGATCAATGGTCATCTTCAAAACAAAACTCACCTTTTGGACATGGCGATCAAGAAACCGAGGGATAAGCCAGAGCCTTTTCACAGGAACAAAAATTGGAAACCTAAAAAGCTTGAGAATGATAAAGAAACAGAGGGAACAATGAATCAACAAGCCTTAATTATTCATTCCGAGTCTCTGACAAAGAGAGAGAGGAAAAAGTCTCTCTGCGAGTCTCAAAATTGTGAGTATCTAGGGTTTTTTTGGCGGTCGGTGTACGATATGAAACGGCCATTGGTTTTGGGATATAATTACGGGCATACCCCTATGGACAGAGGAGGATTGAGAATCGCGGACGAAACGGTAGGTTGTAAGAAATTATGGTATTGGTGGGTCGGGTGCGACCAAAATAAGAAATAACGGAGGGCCGAAAGGCAAATATTAATAAATAATTATAAATTTTCGAAAAGAAAATAGACAGAATTCGTATGAAAAACAAGAAAGTTTCTTATTTAATTAATCATATCATATCTATATTTTGAAATCTATGCGACTTAAACCACACGTATTCTCCATGGGTTCACGCTATAATCAAAGCAAAGGAATATAATTTCAAATTTTCATTTTAGATTAGATTTTTTTATAGTAATTTAGACTATCGTTTGTATAAAAAAAATAATATTTTTTATAAATTATGTGGATTATTAATTTTAGTCAAAAAAAAATTTACAATACAATTGATATTAAGATAAAAGAGAATCAAATCTAGGACCTCGGATATAAAAGTAAAGACTATTAACCATTTGAACTAATAGAGCAAGGAAATGTTTAGAAGTTCCGACAAATAAATAAATACAACATTTTAAATAGATGTGGAGCCTATTAATATATTTTTAAGATATTATACAATGTAGTACAATAATATGGTTTCCTAAGTATTTTTCTTGCGAACAATATACAAATTTATATTGTATTAACTTTCGGAGCATACACTTCATGTATAAATTTATATACAAAATTAGTGAAATATCCAATTCAAGACATGAAACTATAAATATACCCTACACTATTTAAAACATATAAACACACCCAAAATATACCCAAAACTGACAGCTGTTACATTTTTTAGTTTAATTACTTAAATGAAATACCTTTATTACCCATTTAGTATTAAATTAGTTTTTTTGAAAAATTTGGGCCCTCTCTCTCTCCTCTCTCTCTCTCTCTCTCTCGTCTCTCTCCCTTCGCAGAAACCAAGCCTAGGCCAACGATCTTGGTGCTTCGTCCACAGCCAGCGATGACAGCGATCAGAAAAGGATTGGTTAAGGCTGACGATCAAGTCTGGGCTAAAGCCCAGCCACATCAGTCATTTACGACACCGCTGCGAGCTCAAAATGGTCTATGGATTTCAAGTTTTCCGACGTCGTTTCCTGCGACTCCGGCTGTTGTTTCCGTCAATCGATGTATGAAACTTTATCTAATTTTCGTGCTCAAGCTGTTTATGTATGTGGTTAGGATAGATTTTGGAGTTTTGGAAATTAATAAATACACCCTAGTTTGACCGACGACTTTGGCAGTGTTCCGGATTGCTCCGACCACTTTTTGGCTGGGGTCCAAGACAAAAAATTACTCCCCTTGTTAGTCTAAATATGTTGGTATAGGTATTGTAAGGACTTTTTTTTATTTTATTGTAGTCTGATTTGGATGATTTCATGTTCGATTAATTAAATTGCTGGTTAAGTTTTCATAATTTTTGCAGTTTTGGAGTTTAAATTTGAAATGTAGATCCAATTCTTCTTGATTTTATATGTTTATTTTTGTTATTGTCGATTTGGAGATAAGCTATTGGATTTTCTAATTTCGTTCTAATTTGTATTAGATATTCGTTTGAGTTTTAAATTGTGATTTTAATTTCTTTTTGTTTATAATTTGGATTGATTTCAGATTCAATTTGGTTGTGGATTTGCTTTTTGTGTTTTGGTTTGAGCTGTGTTACAGATTTGTGATATTTGATTCTGTTATCATATTAATTTTGAATCTGAGTATATTCGTGTTTTTTCTGTTTATGCACTATTGGTTTTTGAGTCGTCTATAATTTGTTGTTAGGTAGCAGTGTTATTACCTTATATTAGAACTTTACAGACATACATTAGAAATAGGATTTCATAGGAAACAAGCAGTGTTATTACCTTATACTGGAACTTTACAGTGGTAGACATG